CTGGAGTAACTTCTGCTTTTAGTTACACTGGAGTAAACTCCTTTAATTTCAGTGGGACTAATCAGGATTTACACTCATGTAGCTTTAAGCAGCATTGGGGCCCCATGTCATCAGTACCATGGACGCATTGAAAACAAAAATAGCCTCTCCACAGGCATCTGGTCAAATTAGCTGCCCTCTACGCAACAGCTCCAGGGTTCTGCATTGACTTTGACTTGGCAAGCCCATAGAAATACATAGTGTAAGCCATTCTCACACTCCTCAAGCTTACAGACAAGAAATGAAGTTATTCACAGAGATTTTGAACTAAGAGTTCTCGAGAGAATGTTAGAGAGGTTGGAGTTGGACAAGAGTTCTGGGGAATGGGAGTCACTCTCAGAAATCCAGCTGAGAGGCAGGTTTCTCTCTGTGAAGTACACAAAAACATTTGTCCGTAGGGCAAGACAAACACAATACAGCTTACTCTCTGCCTGAGTGGATTGGGTGATGCATAGTTCTAATATAGTTTCCCTGAGTAGGACGGATGTTCAAATCTTGTATAGACTGAAGTTTTGCAGACATCACAAGTAATATTTTGCAAATGCAAAACTGCTTCAGCTTTGCAAGCATTTCTTCCTGATCGCTTAAACCCACACTTTTTGCAAGGGTGATTTTGGATTTTTCTAGCTACGGTGAATCCTGTACTATTCAGTAGGAAGAGAAGAAACTCCAACTCAAGCCTCTTCAAAAAAGCTAAATAGATACAAGTAGGTGCCTAGAATATGAGGTATACACAGAGTCTATTTTTCATTCAATAACTCCTCCTCTCCATTCCTTTTTGCACAGTTTGTCTGCATTATTATCTCTGGCCTACATTCCACTATGTTTCCAGTCTCCTTTCCCCAGGCTTGTCTTCACTACAGCACTAAATCGGCGCCACTGTGGTTGATGCCGCTGCGTCAATTTAGTGCTTCTGGTGAAGACAAGCTACACTGACAGAAGCGCACTCTCTTGTTGTAATTAATCCACCTTCATTAAAGGCGGAAGCTGTACCGATGGGAGAGCATCTCCTGCCGACATCGCATGGTGTAGACACTGCGTGAAGTAGATGTGAGTTGTGTTGCTCGGGGGCGGTTCACACCCCTGAGTGACATCACTTACATCGACGTAAACAGTAGTGTAGACAAGCCGCCCGACCCCACTCCCCCAAAAGGAGTTGCCCAGGAATTCTTAATAGCATCATTCTTAACTTGTATAACGTTTCCTCTTTTTCACCTTTACAATCATGCATCAGCCAAATTCTCCCTCACTTACACCTGTGCAGGTGTACTGAGTTAAGCACTACCTCTTAATCTCCATCTGCCTTGATGACAACGCTTCGTCCCATTCCAGTGAACGAACCTGATCTATCAGCGTTCCTAAATCCACGATCAGTGTATTATCAAAGTGCTGATGATATGCAAAATGAGAGCACAATACATTTTCATTAAACGTTAAGAAACGGTTTGACCTCTTTTGCTTTTCGCTCTGTTTAGAAGGCAATAGGTCAAATTAGATGAGGTAAAACTCTAGTAAGTATGTTTTAAGAGGAAAAAATTGGGCATTTTTGAGAGCTTTTTTGGGGAAAAAATAAATGTTTCTGGTTTTGTTTTAAGAAAAAGCCTTTTTTTGTTTTTGTTTTTGCGCTCCTTTCTTTTCCTTTTCCCTTTTTTCAGTGATCAAAAAGGGAAAGGGGTAATGGATTTGGATACAACTGTATTGTATCCAAAAAACCACACAAACAATCATGATATAAAAGCTTCTAGCAGATCTACATTCTACAGATTTTGGGTTTATCTTGTAGAACACAATAGCAGGGGTATAATTCTCTATTAAGTTCAGTAGAATAGTTGAAAAAAAAAACTTGTGGAAAGGTTGTGTTATTTTTTATGAAGTTCTGCAGACCTTTTCCATAATTATCCCAAAATGTGTACCGCTCTTTCCTGACTTTGCAGCAGCACTTGTCCATCAAATATTATTTCCAGAGATGTGCTTTTTCCTGCTGAAAATGTTATTTTAGCAAACAAGCAGAATCATGTTGGTTCTTATCCACCAGAATTATATATGCACACACACAATGGAAAATTAATCTGACAACTAGAAAAGGAGTGTAGCTATACCTGTGTCGGTCACAGGATATTAGAGAGACAATTGGTCCAGTAAAAGATGTTATTTCTAAGTAAAGAAAGGAGTGACGTGATAAGGGAATCCATTTCTCAAGCTTCAAAGAAGGTGCTGCATGGAAACGTGTCAGGAAGAAGTAAATCTAGGATTAAGATTTTCAAAAGTGGTAAGCAATTGAATGCCCAATTTGGGAAACGGTAAAAGGCCTGATTTTCAGAAACTGCTGAGCACTGCCCTCTGGAAATCAAAGAGTGAGGTACCCCAAATCACTAGTCACTTTTGAAAATTTCAGCACTCATGAAAACAAGCTGACTGAATCTTCTAATATCGTCTCCTGAGTCCTCATTATGGATTTCAGTTGCCAAACAATGCACAATACAGCACAGTAAAAACAGACAAGGTAGATGATGCAGTGAGCATTTATACTCGGAGAAGTGATTTACTAACAGAAACACCATGCAGTTCTGTATTTACTCTCAGCACTATGCACAGTAAATGAGCTCTGCTTACAAGTCAAAGCATGATTATTTTTTTCTGTCTGCTAGAACAGTATGTGCCACAGGAGATCGAAAACTCCTGCTCTGTTCTCTCGGGCTCTTACATCATTACCAATCATATTCTGCAGTTGGAATGTAGCTGTCAAGGTTGTTGAAGGTGCAAAAAGAGATCAGTGTCTTTAATAAGTGACTCAGCAGTTCTAACCGTAGTAATGGATATGGTCAAGCTACAAAATATTTATTCGACTTTATTGTTCAGTTTATAAAATGCACCTTCTGCCATCTCTAGGCAAACTGATGAGCCTTAACTGAGTCATCTCGATGAGTATGGGGGCTGGCGAGCTTTGACTTTGCCACCTCTAGGCAGATGCACAAAAACACGAAAATAATAATATATTAACACAACCAGAGAAAGACACAGTGTCAAGTGCAAAAAAGTCCCTCAAACTGTCATAAAAATTCCTTCCTTCCCATGCTACCTCTCTGGGCAAATGCCTGAGTAAATAAATAGGCTTTGCAATCAAAAGAGCTGAGTTACGTCTGTGAGGTCAGGTTGGGAAACAAATTGCAGTCCTGGGGCCTCCCCTGGAAATGCTTCACCACCTGACCCAAGAACTACAAATCTGTGGGCTGTTAGCTGGAGCACCACAGATGGTCTTAACCACCAGAGGGTAACAGAACAGACGAAAGGGCTGGAAGAGCATCAAGGATCGCCTAAAGCCCTGAATCCAGCCAGGGGAAAATTCTCCTGATGCAGGAAACAGGAGAAAGACAGTGATTGTTGTCTGAAGACCTCCTCTCAAATATTCCTGTAGGGAGCATGCTTGGGGAGAGAGGGGCATATTAGGGGTGGAGTTGCAGCATTGCAGAGATTTTGGACAGTCCTCGGAGCCTGCCATAACTTAGCCTGCCAGATTTGTCTAACTCATACTAGGGCCTGCTCTGGACCCCCAGAGTACCCCAGCAGCTGGAGAGTACCAAGGTGGCTTAGAGCTACCTCCTTAGCCCCCTCGCCTCTTGGTCTGCAAATTTTGTTCTGTATCCCTTATAAGTGCAGCATAGACAGCCCAGGATGGAATATAAGGGGCCAGCTGCTCCACTTCAGGGGAGCTATGCTGATGTACACCACTGGAGAATGTGGTCTCTAAAACAGCTAGGACCCAAAATAATATACCATCTATACATCTAAGCCAACTCCTTGATTTTTTTTCCCCAGAAGCAAACAAGAAGAGAGCACTGGTGTAACAGGGTCCCTGTGGGAAGCCCCACTAAGCAATCACATTGGACTTCTGGGGGTTCATTCATACCAGAGTTATTCCACCGATGTAACCTGGGGCAAAGTGAAAAGTCCACCTACAGGTGGGTTGCAGCAATACAAAGCATTCGTAAGCCCTGCTCCCTGCCACACGCTGCTCTCCCAAATTGGGTGGGGTTTGGTGGGGTAGAGCACTTGATACAACACATCCCCAGGGCAGCCTTCGTTGATGGAGGCTCAGCCACGAGTTAAAGCTGATAGGACCCCCAAGGGGAAGCAGTGATGCAGAAGCCACCTGCACGCGCTATAGAAAGTTGTTAGCCATTGGCTCCTTATAAATGTTCCCCCAAGTTGCCCCAATCCTACCTTTCTTGCCTTTCTGTGAGCACGCCTCCCAGGCACACACGGGAGTGTAATGAGTCCGTCCTCTTCCCTGGGGCTTAGCTAGAATCTCAAGGAGAAGGTGTGGTACTGTCGATACTGAATAAGGCTGCCGTTTTTGCTTGTATACTCCTCTGAGTGTAACCACCCTGGCAAAGAGTCCCAGTGAGCAGAGCCGGTCATGCACACAGTTTCCCAAGGAATTCCCATGGTTTAGAGGAAGCTAAACTGAAAAAACACATTGGTGTCCGTGACCACTTTCTAATAATGAATCACACATGGCTGCAGAGTTACACGTGCCTTTAATTTGGAGCTGGTCAAACAAGACAGACTTACAGCAATTTCTGTTTTATAAATGTATTCCAAATACAAACACATAATACCTATGGTCTGGTTCAATTAAGTATATTGTTCTTTTTACTCTCTGTGCAGTATCTGACAGCAAAGTCACACGTGTTTTTTTTATGCATAAATGTTCTAATCACCTGCAGCCAGGTTGTTCCTCCTTTAACTTATCTGTGACTCAATACACCGCAATTGCCAGGAGCAGCTAATGCATTTTATTTATGTTTTCGTTTTGATCAAAGAGCTGGTTTGCGCTGCATTTGCGTTTAGTTGCATCCACTTTCCACCTTTGTGCCACGTCTCGTGAAATGTGTTGAAACTGACCTACTTTGGCCTTTTCATGGTATTCTGAAAAAAAATGCTAATCTTGTCATATTTAGCAGCTGCGTTCAGAAATGCTACTGTAAGCCCAAGAGGGCTAACCAGCACTCTTGCAAGATGTCAGAACTATCCACCATTACCCTGTAAGTGTACACAATCCCGTGACATTATTGTGTTTTTGTGAGGCATGTTGCAAATAAATGGTTTATATAAGCAGTGGGGCAGAAGGGAAACTGTTCATTATTTCTTGTTGCATGCGGATGGGTTTTTTGGTTTTTTTGTTTTGTTTTGTTTTTGTTGTGTGCTTCTGCTGATACATCACAATCAAGAATGTTAAGCTTATTTGTTGCAAATGTGTCAGTTTATTGACCAACATGATTTATGATTATGAATAACAGAATTAGTACCTAATCCAAAGCCTGTTGAAATCAGTGGGAGTGTTTTTTATTGAGTTCAGTTGATTTTTGAATCAGTCTGTAATATACCCACAAAGTCTTTATGAAAACTTTTAACAAACCTACCCATTTTTAAAGAAAAAGCTATTAGTCATTATGTAGCAAGGGAGTGCTATGCACATTGGAAAGAAAGTGCTTTGCCTGAAACTTTGCTAGGAAAATATAAATATGAAAAATATGGACCAGATCCACAGCTGGTATAAACTGGTATATCTCGCCTGAAGTCAATGGAGCTACAGCAGTTTATGCCAGCTAAGGATCTGGCCTAAAATGTATTTATGTATATTTGCTATGCTGTATGATGTACAGCCCAACTTTCACTGGAATTTCATGGTAAAATCTTGTGATTTGAACCCTGGACTCTCAAAGGTGGCCTGCCAAACTGATCTAAACACAATACAGCCTTTTGTCAAGGTCAAGGAAATTTCCCTTCTTAATGGTTGCACACTTTTTCCCTTTGCTTGAAAACCTACCCCATTTTGAGCCTGAAAAAATATTTTTCTAGTTTAGAGACGGGATCTCTTCTCAGGGTACTTACAAAAAGAGAGCGGAGGAGCTGCCCAAAAAGATTCAGCCAAGGAACTGATTCTGAATAAAAACAAACACAAGAAATAAAAAGTAGGAAAAGAAGAAGAAAATAATTGTTTTTAAAAAATCAGCAATAGGCATTTGCTCAGTCCAGAGAAGGTAGTGATCTGAGACCACCATAGAAACTGGAATCCACATTTCTGAGCTAAAATCATTTTTAAGGATGAAATTCACCACTTAATTCACATGGAAATGGTGGACAGGCCTCATGCTGAGCCTCTGCATAGCGGTGAATTTCACTCTAAGTGAATTCAGAGCAGTTGAAAGGTGGCAGATGGACAGCTGAAGTCTTCTAGCTACCATAATATAAACCCAGCACAGGCTGCAGGCAATGTTAACTCTCCATATGCCATCCCAGCAACATACCTCCAGCGTGTTCATGAGGGCTGCTGTTTAGGTGTGACAGGTTAGTTCAGTGTTCATGGCCATTCAGTTGTTAGACTGAGGGCATTAAGTGCTAGCATTCTTACTGACATGCCAAACAAGAGAAATGTAATCAGCTGCCCTGTTCGGTTTCAGAAGAGGCCCGGCTGATCTAAGTGGTCTGTTTTCCAGCCAGGCAGAGATAGGCAGCCCATTGACTGAATCCTCTACATTTCGAAGCTGTGGAAATATACAGATAATGTCTCCATCCAGGAGATTGCTGAGTTCCCAAACAACCATGACCGCTCCATATCCACCCATCTCAGGTTTTGCCTTCATTGTTTGTTTTTTATTAAAACTGGCCAATGTCTCCAATAAATAGATGCTGACTTACTGTATATTCCAAAATACAGGCAGTGGAGCATAAACCAAGCATCTAATTATACTTGCAGCATTCCATTCCTCCATTACCTAGTGTAAAAATGGGTCTTTTGCCCCTTATCCTCCTCCTTAAAATACAATTTTGTCATCCTGAGCTACTTATACATATTCCAAATTAAACTAGAAACCAGATTTAGCCTTTTTTTTCCTTCAAAGGAGGGGTCCCAAATAGCATAATAACTATTATATAAATCTTTTTCGAAGAATACAGCTTCATAAATCACTTGGATCCATTGATAGCTTAACATAAGAATGACCACACTCGGTCAGACCAATGGTCCATATAGACCAGCATCCTGTCTTCCGTAAGTGGCCAGTGCCAGCTGCTTCAGAGGAAGCGAACAGAAAAGGGGAGATATTGAGTGATCTTCCAGTCCCAGCTTCTAGCCACCAAAGGTTTAGGAACACCCAAAGCAGGGAGTTAGTTGCATCCCTGACCATCTTGGCTAATAGCATTTACAGACCTATTCCCCCGTGAACTCTTCTAAGTCATTTTTTAATCCAGTTATACAATTGGCCTTCACATCATCCCCAGGCAGTGAGTTCCATGGGTTGACTGTGCATTGTGTGAAGTACTCCCATATACTAGTTTTCAATTACCCGCCTATTAATTTCATTGGGTGACCTTTGGTTCTTGTGGTAAGTGAAGGATAAATAAAACTTGCCTTGTCCACCCCATTCATGATTGTGTAGACTTCTATTATATCCCATCTTAATCATCTATTATCTGAGCTGATCAGTCCCAGGTGGTTTTGATCTCTCCTCATATGGAAGCTGTTTCATATCCCTAATCATTTTTCTTGCCCTTCTCTTTAACTTTTCAACTTCTAATATATCATGTTTGAGATGCGGTGACTTGAGCTGCACACAGTATTCAAGGGGTGGGCATCCCATGGATTTACGCAGTGGCATGATAATCTTTTTGTCTTATTATCTGTCCCTTTCTCATCGGTTCCTAACATTCAGTTAGCACTTTTGACTGCTGCTGCAAGTGAAGTGAATGTTTTCAGAGAGCTAGCCACGTGGACGGCTGGCAAAGTTTCCCCTGGGGAAGGCTGGCTCCCTGTCCTGCCTCTTCTGCTCACGGCCCAGGCTCCGCTCCCATTCGGCCCAGTCCCTGCCCCCTCCACCATCCCTCCCCCACACCACCGCTCACCATGTCCCTCCTCTCCTCCACCCCCACCCCGCGAGGCTGCCCACCCTGTCTCTCCCCTCCTCCAACCTCCTCCCCTGCAAGACCCCCCGACCACCACATCCCTCCTTTTCTCCACCCCCTCCCCGTGCGACCCCCCACCCCCTGCTCACTGCGTCCCTCCTCTCCTCCACCCCCACTCTGTGAGACCCCCCCACCCGCCATTCACCGCATCCCAAGTCCCACAAGACACCCTGCCCACTCTGTCCCTTTTCACCTTCCTGCCCTGCGAGGCCCGCTCCCACCCGCCGCATCCCTCCTCACCCCTCCCAACATGAGACCCCCCCTGCCCACCACAGGGTGCATCCCTCCTCAGGCCCCACCCGGTGAGACACACTCCCCGCCCCCGCTGTTTGCTGCATCTCTACTCGCCACTCACTCCGTCCCATTTGTGGGGGCAACGGGGTGAGGAGGGACACGGTGAGCGGTGGGGTGTCATGCGGGGTGGAGGAAAGGAGGGAAGCGGTGAATGGGAGGTCTGGTGGGGGCAGGCAGTGAGGAGGCACACAGCAAGTGGTGGGCGGGGGATCTCAGGGGGGGCGGGGAGTGAGAAGGGACATGGCGAGTGGTGGGCGAGGGGGTCTTGGGGCAGGGAGTGAGAAGGGACATGGCGAGTGGTGGGCGAGGGGGTCTTGGGGCAGGGAGTGAGGAGAGACATGGCGAGTGGTGGGCGAGGGGGTCTCATGGGGGCGGGGAGTGAGAAGGGACGTGGCGAGTGGTGGGCGAGGGGGTCTCGGGATGGGGAGTGAGGAGGGACGTGGTGGGCAAGGGGGTCTCATGGGGGCAGGGAGTGAGAAGGGACGTGGCGAGCAGCAAGGACCTCAGGAGATGGGGGTGGAGTGGAGGAGAGGAGGGACTCACTCACCAGGCAGCGGTGGGCGGTGAGGGCCTCAGGAAAGGCGTGGAGCAGGGAGGACAAGAGGCGAAGTGCAGGGCCTTGAAGTCTGGCAACCTGTCGGTGGCAGCTGTGCCAGGGTAGCCTTAGCCTCCTCTGACCTATTATATCCACCACCCATGACTATCCACAATGACTCCAAGATTTCTTTCTTGAGTGGTAACAGCTAATTTAGTCCCTATCACTTTGTACGTGTAGCTGGGATTGTTTTTTCCAATGTGCATTACTTTGCATTTATCAACATTGAATTTCATCTGCCATTTTGTTGCCCAATCACCCACTTTTGTGAGATCCCTTTGTAGCTCTTCGCAGTCTGCTTTGGACTTAACTATCTTGAGTAATTTTGTATCATCTGCAAATTTTGCCATCTCACTGTTTACCCTTTTTTCCAGATCATTTATGAATGTGTTGAACAGCACTGGTCCCAGTACAGATCCTTGGGGGCCCCCCCAAAAGTTTTATAAGAAAGTCATCAAGAGACGAGAACCATGGACTCAGCAGTAGGCCTCAATCAGTCTGTTCCTAAATTGGAATAGTTGTCAATGTTGTCTCAATCTTCATATGCACAGAGTAGCATTGCCTTAATCTTATATATATGACAAGGGCGTAGTTCTGTTAGATGGCCTCATGACCAGACTAGCACAAGCAGGCATAGTCCTGGGAACTATGACACAGACACAACTTCAGTAATCAGAAGACATCTAGAGGAGAAGAGAGAGGCAGCTCTCAGCCTTCAGCTGTTGTTTTTTCATGTTTCCCTCTTTCCCAGAAGCAGGAAGAACAGATAAACCCCAGAGCTTCCTCACAGAATCCATTCCGGAGTCACAGCCCTCCTCCCGTTGCGGGCTGTCTATGTGCCTGACAAGGAACGCTCACTCACCGAGCCTTCACAATCTCTCTCTCTCACCATTCTAGCTGCCCGGATTTCTAAGTCACAAGATGTGTCTGTGTTGAATCTTATTAATTAAAGATGGAAGAAAACTTTTAGGACAACTAGTCCTTCCCTACGGGGAGTTGTTTCCTTAGGTGTGGTTCACTGATGCTTTATCTGTAATGATTTTCTTGGTTTTTTATTAACCCACAGAAGTTGGGATTTTCAGCAATGTCTAAGGGGGATGGGAGTTGGCTGCCTACCTCCCTTAGGTACTTTTGAAAAATTCCTGGGTAATTTCCCTGATAATATTTGTTTTGCGTCTATGGGTCCGTCGAGTACCTAAGCAATTATTTCAGTCAGAAAAAAGCAAAAACCTTTTAGAAAGCTTCTCCAGACAAACTTTTCTGGAGTTATGCTCTGCTTCCTAGAATCATTGCACTACAACTATAAAGCATTTCTCCAAGATCTACCTACCTATACATTCAGCTGAGACAATCTGTATTCGTGCCACCTTGTGACTAACAAGAATGTTATTGTTGAACCCAGTTTTTAATGCCTTAAGCAATGGTGAGACGATTCTGCTTTGTATTAGCTCTCATGGTCAATATGTTCTTCTTATTTATATTCTGGCTTAATTATCATGTTATTAATTTCAATCCTTTACTCCTAGTTCTTACCCTCTTGTACCACTCTACATAATTCCTCTATATCCATGTTTTTACATACTTCAAATACTTACAGACCTTTATCATTCCCCTATTCATCCAACCCCACTTAGTCATTGGTATCGATTGTTATGCATATTTGGTTATTTTGGGTGGAATTTTCAAAGCCATATAAGGAATTTCCTTTAGAAATTAATGGTCATCTAAATATTTTGGTAGCTTTGAAAACCTCTCCCTTTATTATTTCCTTAGAACTCAGTCTCAAAGTTCCAGATCACAGTGCACACACATACACAAATCTCTGATTTTCTCAAATTAAGGTGTTTATTTTTCCAACCACACATACTTAGTTTTGATTAAAACAAAGACCAATCATGTGTTTTAAAATCTTGTTTAAAATGTAAAATAGTAATAGGGTAGAATATTCAGTACAAATCACTGGAAAGGGGACTAAATTAATTTAGCATACTTGATCTTTTCCATCTTTGATTCATGCAGACTTATGCCCCCAGCAACGTACATGGGCTTCAGCAACCTCTCTCCAAACAAGCCTATTAATGCAAATGAAAGGTTCCTTATAGAGGACAAAATTATAGAACTTTCCTCTTTGTTATTTCTTCCCATCTATTATAAACGTATCTTGCTTAGTGCATTAGACTTCAGGTTGGTTGAGGCAACCTCGTCAATCAGGAGATGAGGAAAAAGAAAAGGAAAAAATGAATCCATGTTTTTGCACAATAAAATTCCATTGATACTCTGACTCCCAGTCACAATATATAAGTGAGAAAACCCATCCCTGAACTGTGATAACAAAGTCTCTCATTTTTAATGCTTTCATTGAAGACAGTCATAAAACCAATAGATGTTCTGCCTCGTTCAGTGTCTAACAGGGCACTAGCCCTCCCTGGCATTTTAGCTAACTCTGGTATTTTTAGAGGTGTTGGACTGCAGCCAGGAGTTTAGTCACATTTCTTAGAGGCTGTGTCCCTTCCAAACAGCCAAGTAATGTTTGGTCAGCTAACTAGTGTTTCTGCAACTTCAGTAGCGTGTCTATTAAGTTCTGTAGCCATGAATGTAAATGAATGCAGCACGCTGTAACAGTCTTGCTTTCATCACTGCTTCTGCTTTCATTTTTCTCCCCTGCTGATGCTCCTGGTAAAATAACAGGAATCATCACTTCTTCACCAACAGACTGATTCTGACCATTGCAGGGTGACTATCCAACATCATGTCGCCAAGAATTCTCATTCAGAAACAGCTATAGAGAGCGGCAAAAATTGTACCTGGATACAAATTTCTGTTCAATCCCGGGGATATTCAAAGCTAGTTTTGGTTTAGCTTATTATAGAGATAAGGTGTCTATGTGAAAGGGAGATTCATGTGCAAACTTCCCCAAGTTCATGGGTATTGAGATCCCAGGTTTTGGCTGTGACCCATCAGCAGATGTGATAGCTGGCTGCCAATGCTGGATAACATCTATGGATAGTTTTTGTTTCATCAGTTGTTTTAATGTTGTGTTTGTTGGCTTTTGGTTTCCTTGCCGCAGTTTTGTTACATACAAGATCTGCACAGTGTATAAGTTCTAGGGATCTCAGTTCCTTAAAGATGGATGTTGTTAGTGCCCTTCTCCAATGTCCTTTTGTGACATGGCCAGTCTAGTTGCACCAGGTACTTCAAGTTGTCTTTCATCTAGGCTTGCTCTTTCTTCCATTTCTGTTTGATTTCTTTGCCTTTCTGCAGTATGAAGCATTGATCAATCACATTGCAAAGTTCATTTGTTAGTTCATGTGTTTTCTCCATATCCGTAATGGAAGCACAATTATGAAAGCACAAGACCTCATTTTTTTAAAAAAATGAGGAAACTTGTTCTTTTTAAAGCATGATTTTATTTAGTATTTCAAAAACTCTCAGCAACCAGCTTGGAGACTTTGTTTTGACATCCTGGTTCAGGAATAGTATGCTTCAGTCAGACGAGGCAGACTCCTTAACAACATCTAATTCTTTTCTACCCATTACAATCCCCTTTTCTAACTTGTTATGAGCCAATTTTTGATCTTCTATAAATCTGTGTGTGTACAAAATACCTCTTACTTAGTGTTCACTATGCATGCATTTCCTCCAAGGTTTTCACAGGGTTAATTAAAGACAGTATCCTCCAATCCTGAGATGGCATTGCAGTTACAGATTCTGAGATTTTAAAGCCAATAGGGACCATTTTGATCAACTGATCAGACCTCCTGCTTAGCGCAAGTCATAGAAATTCACCCAGGCATTCCTGCATTGAACCCAGTAACTTGTGGCTGAATTAGAGCATGCCATTTCAATCCATTATGAAACAATGCACTTTCCATTCAAGCTGGGTTTTTTAAAACATCTTTTTTCTAAAATGATGGATTTTGGAGAGAGGTATCTCTGTGTCTATCTTCATGCCTCGTCTTGATCTCTTCTCATTCCATGGCTAGCTTAAATATTGTAGTGTCAAATGGGTTTGAAGATTCTGTTAGCCTGCTCTCTCTTCTTCCAGTGCTTCTGACACTTGTCTTATCCACTATGATATTTTCATAGTCCACAAACGCTGTACTGGGGTGTATGATGTTTAGCAGCCTCGTCATTAGCTTGATACATTGTAGTGAATTGACTGATGAATCCTGTATGCTCTCGCAGCCTGTTGACGACCCATACTTTGGCCGGCTGAAGCCATATCAGACAAAGAGGAATGCTGCAGGGGATGGGGAGCGGGAGAGAGTACAACAAAAATACTTCCAGCAATGAGCCAGTGTCACATTTTCGCTGTGGCATTCGGTATAGCCACGTCAGCACTGCCTATGAAATAATGGCGGGGAGTTCTTCCAGCGCTCAGCAAGGGCCTCTCTCTTTCTCTATTCCCACCTCTATGCCAACTCGTTTTAAGGGAAATGTTCATGTGTCCCCATCAGACATCTCTCAGCCACTCATCTTTCTACTGGAGGAAATTAAGCTTTGCAATCCAGAAGGTATTCTTTGTGACCACTATACCCGCTTTGTTTGCAGATAGGCAGTCAGTTGGCTTGTTCCTTTTGTGTGCTTACCCATAAAAATTCAACTTATATTGTAGCAGAAAGCAAGAGATGGTTTCTCATGGTGGCAAGCTGCCTCACCAAGCATAGGCTTGCTTAATTAGGGCTTGAGTGATGCACAGACATTGTGCTGGGCCTCTACATAGCGTGAATTTCATCCATATAGAATCAATTGCTCACTAGTACCTATTTAGTTCCCAGTATTCTTGTCTACACCCACTGGGCTTGATTTTCCTCTCACACCATTTTACATTGGTGCAACACAGTTGACTTCAATGGAGTTACACATGATTTGCACCAGTGTAAATGAAAGCAGAATCAGGCCCATGGGCAGTAGAGTCATGATTGCATAATACCATGGAGACCTTTTCTCTTTCAAGAAGAGTGAACTCACAGAATGGAGATTCTGGGTGCTGCATATAAAGAAGGCCATCAGGTGGTGCTATTGTTATTTATTTTATTTGTATTATGGTAGCACTCAGAGACCACTGCTAAGATCAGAGCCCCATTGTGTTTGGTACTGTACATATCCCTAGTAAGAGACAGTCCCTGTCCCGATAGGGTAACCAGATATCCCGATTTTATAGGGACAGTCCCGATTTTTGGGTCTTTTTCTTATATAGGCTCCTATTACCCCTCACCCCTTCCCGATTTTTCACATTTGCTGTCTGGTCACCCTATGTCCAGAAGAACATTCAATCAAAATAAGAGAATACGATAGTCAACAGTTCTAAACTATTGATACATATTCATACTCAGACTGTACCAAGTGTTAGAAAATGGGGTCAGGATAAAATGTAGGCGAAATCAGGGGATGGGAAAGCATGGGAACATTTCATATATATTATTATTTATTTATTTATTTATTTATTTATTGCAAATGGAACACCACAAAATGTTAATCAAAGCTCAAGCTGTCCCTGCAGAGATATATTAACATTCTTTCAATTTGTCGTAACAGGAGGCTGGCCCGCTCCACTCTGCTGCTTATCCCCTTGTTTGGAATTCACTACACTGTGTTTGCCTTTTCTCCTGAAAATGTCAGTAAACGGGAGAGACTAGTGTTTGAACTGGGACTGGGATCTTTCCAGGTGATTATACCGTGAATTCTGCTTTAAAAGAAAAAGAAAAAGAAAGAAAGAAAGAAAGAAAGAAAGAAAGAAATCTGTATTTGTTATGACTGCTGTGCATGGATCTCTCTTTGTGTGTTCATTCACTTACCGTATGTGCTTTGTAGACTAGCAGGTTCCCCCACCCCCCCTTCAGCTATTTTCTATCAGTTCCCTAGAGGATTTTAATACAGTCTTTTCTCTCCTGTTTATCCAGGGCTTTGTCGTTGCTGTTCTCTATTGTTTCTTGAATGGGGAGGTAAGAATTTTGATTTTTTTACCAGTTCTCCCTCCGCCTCCATCTGTTTAGCATGACATTTGGTTGGGATCACACCGTTAACCCACCTCTCAGCTGTAATTCATTAGCTCTCTACTCCTTGACCTCGTCCAAATTTCAGAATGCCTTCAGCAAAGCAGGAAGGAAGCCTGGTCTTTTAGTCAAAGCACTGGGCTGGCAGTCAGATACTTCTGGGTTCTATTCCTGCCTTTGCCTCTGGCTTAACACGTAGCTGCTCAGAAAGTCACTTGGGACTCCTACTATCAGTGCAGGATTGAATTCTTAATATCCTTATGTTACAAAGTAGCTGTAAAATGGGAATAATAATACTTCCGTACTTTACAGAGGTGATCTGGAGCTATTTTTATTACTGCTTGTAAAATGCTTTGAGATCCTTGGATGGAAATAGGGGATTTTGCCACTAAAGATGCAACAAAATATTTCATATTTATTTCCAACATTTTGCTGTGTGTAATATATGCTGTTTCTTTCAATTTTGTTAAATAACTTAGTCCTATTTTAAAGGGCATTTTTCCAATTTTGGCCTTTGGCACAGTGAGTGGAGAGGTATGAATTGCATTCACGGCCACGGCATTTATGATTCTTGCTTTTCAGATACTGTAGATTTGGTCCTAGATTTGACAGTCATTTTGTTCATTATTAACCCAAATTGGTCTCTGGGTTTGCAGTCGTGGTTTTCCATATGAGTGTCATTTACTATGGATGAGGGGGGGAAATTAAAAATATAGGGCCAAATCCTCAGATGGTGTAAACCAGCTTTTCTCAGAGGAGGGATGCTGATTTACATTATCTGATCTGGCCCTGTGATGAGGGGCTGCTTGGGGGAAAATAATATATATATATAACTGGCCTTGCCAAGGCACGGCTTACAGGGAAGTTTCAGGCAGTGTTCTGTACTTTTTTACACAGGCAAATCTACAGTAATTGTGCATGTGTGAAATACCATTTCCATGCAATAAAACTATGCTCTAACTTTGTCTGTGCATCTCAGTCATGAATTAAGATTGGGGGATATATTGTCTAGTTCAGGGGTGGCCAATCTGAGCCTGAGAAGGAGCCAGAATTTACCAATGTACATTGCCACAGAGCCCCAGTAATACGTCAGCAGCCCCCGTCAGCTCCCCCACCCTACTACCAGGGCCTCTCACCCACCGACAGCCCCATGGATCAGCACCTCCCCCTCCCTCCCCACAACTCCCAATCAGCTGTTTCGTGGTGTGCAGGAGGCTCGGGGAGGGGGGGAGGAGGGAGGGCACAGCAGGCTAAGGGGAGGGGGCAGGAAGGGGTGGAGTGGGGGGCAGGGCCTGTGGCAGAGCCAGGGGTTGAGCAGTGAACCCCCCCCCGCCCCCCCCGGCACATTGGAAAGTTGGCGCCTGTAGCTCCAGCCCCGGAATTGGTGCCTGTACGAGGAGCCGCATATTAAGGTCTGACGAGCCGCGTCTGGCTCCGGAGCCACAGGTTGGCCACCCCTGGTCTAGTTGATGTGCAGCATCCTAATAATGCATATCATTTATAAAGAGCTTCCCGTCGTTACAGTTCTTGAAGTAGTTAGATTCCCTTAGATAGAAGATTAGTTGCTAAGTTGTATTTACATTCCCATTGCAATCAGTGACACATCAGGTATACCTGGGTATTCAGCAGCACAGCAGGTGGGCGTACCCCACTGTGTACATGTCATATATATGCCCAGCAAGTTTGGCAGCAGTCACATGGTTAACAAAGAAGAGTTAAACCTCATTACTTGTTCATCTTCCAACTGTGCCCGTCCTAGAATGTCCTCTTATTGTGCCATTTAGGTGACATACCAGTACGATGCTAGAAAGGGTAGTATGCACACTTACATATCTGACTGCTGTCACCCCTTTGTGGGGAAATGATAGAGGAGAATGCTGTATTTTCACTAGCCATACAGCCACAAAAGGTGGATGGAAGCACTGGGGACAAGATGGGAATGAAATGTGTATGAAACATATTCCATCTTGCATGGTTCTCCAAGGGCCCAATCCAAAGTCAATGCCAATCAAAGGAGAAGTCTTTCCATTGACTTCACTGGGTGGGGTGCTTCATGCACAAGGAAAGATTAACTCAATGAGTGCCAAATGCAGTAGAGAGCAAAAAATGCAAGCACGGTGATGCAGATTATTTCCACTCATACAGGAAAGACTCAGATCTGATTTGAGGATAGTGGATCCGCAAAGTTGCAGCCCATTGTTTCAGAACTGAAAAAAAAATATCACTGACCATATCATCCCTCTGCTCTGGATATGATGGGTGAAATCCTGGCCACACTGACGTCAATGGTAAAGTTCCCATTGATTTCAACAAAGTCAGGATTTCACCTGGAGTATCCAAGCTAACCACTAACTGCCTGGAATTAGGAAGAAAGTACCCCAAGGGCAGAGGAGTCCATACTTGTCCATTACAGGATTTCATGGCTGTGCTTCTTCTAAAGTATCTGGTATTAGCCACTGTCGTAGGCAGGATACTGGACCAGAGTCCTTACCCAGAGACTATAGGAGTTGATGGGCTTAGGAACATCATTAATGTTATTGTTACATTTGTGTTTATTATTTGTATTATCATAATGCCAAGGAGTCCTAGTCATGGACCAGGACCCCATTGTGCTAGGCGCTGTACAAACAGAAAAACAAGACAGTCCTGTCCCCAAAGAGCTTACAATCTCAGTGTAAGACAAGAGACAACAGATGGAGGAGTACAAGAAATCTATGAGACAATAGTCAGCATGGTAGCCAGTGGACATGACAGGACCTCGATGCATCCCTGGTCTGATTCATGGTGGCAACTCACGTACCCTGATGTCAGTGAGCGTAGACTGAGTGTACAATAGGGTTGCATCGCATTTCCCCACTGCCTCCATCCCGTGCACATCTAGAAGTCTCCCTAGAGTTCACTGAGGGGAGAAGTTCAAGACGGGTCTTAAACAAGCACTGTTTATTTTTGAAACTTGATTGTCTGTCAGCATGTACCCGAGCGGCTAAGTACATAAAAAAATGACCTTTTAAAGTTTCTCCCTAAAGGTGCAATCAGAAATAAAGAGAAAATGGAGGAGCTGGAAAGTCAACCGGTATTTTGCTGTGGATTTCAAACATCGCCATCCGTCTCTGGCGAGCAGCGGAGTGAACGGGGGGACACAACTCTCCATTCTGAGCAAGAGCAGCTCTCAGATTCGGATGTCCAGCATAAATGCGGAGAATCTAGTGACATGAGCAACTAAATAACCCCTCCCCCAGTAAAACCCAAAACACCCCTTTAAAAAGAAAAAAAATCATAATTTTGCTGGTCTGGGTTTTCTTTTTTAATGATTATTATTATGATTTTTTTAATGTAAGATTTGTCCGAAAGCATGAAACAAAACATCCCTGGCGTTTTGCAGAGAAGAAAAAAAGGATATTTTTTTAACAATCATTGTAAATACACCACTAAGATCCATGCCATTGATAAAAAAAATCAATAACATGCCAAGCCCACCCCCACACACCCATTTAGAGCATCTGCAAGTAATCCATTGTCAGCCAAGTGTATCAAGTGATTGCTGTGCAGTTGTGAACATTGGTTGCCAAACTGATATAAATCTGTCTGTGCATGGACTTCATTGTTGTTATTTTTGGGGTCTGGGTTTGTTTGTTTTTCTAATCCAATGCATCTTCACTATGCCTCATTCCTATCTTTGGTGTCTGAATATTCTCAGTCTCTTTGGAGTCTTAGGATGTGACTATAACGTTGGGGTTAATAATGCCGGCCAGTTCATGAAGGACTCCGGAAATTGATTTCATGGCTGGATTTGGTCAGAAGAACTCAGCGGACTTAGAACATCTGCTGTGACTGTGTGAGACAGCATACCTGTCACCATTCCGGAGAGAGGAATCCATGCAGCAGAGATGGGGTCTGCTATTTTAGGTTCTAGCAAAGCTGTGAATTTTCTAAGAGGGCCATCCATTTGAGAGAGATCTATATTTTTGGGGTTGATAGGTTGGAGTTTTGAGTAATGTGAACAAAGATCCCCCCACTAAGAGGCAAAGGTCAGTACCAGGATTCTTGCTTCCTCTGAATTATAATGAAACTCCTGCATTGATGTCTGATCATTGCACTGCGACTGGTAGTGGCATGACGTGTGTGTGTGTGGCCTCTGCGACCAGGCTGGCATTGACAGCATTATGCCTCAGGTTTGCCAGCACAAGAGACTCAACAGGGGCCCAACGTGGTGGTGCAGGAAGATTAATGTCCTCAGTGTCTGTGGAGCACCTAAGCTGAACAGTAAGACACTACGGAAGGGAATGATAAAGACTTTGGATGATTTACCGTGTCTGGCAGTTTCTTCTGTCATTGGATAGTTTGTTTGTTCACCAACAGATATCATTAATGCCAATGTCTGAGAGACAAAAGAAAAAGTCCTTTCCAACTTTGCCTTGTAGTTAGAGCCATGACTGGTTACATATCTACTTCAGTCAAACATCAATGATGTCAATTATTTCTTGAGAGGTTTTATGTGGTGCATAAAGGCTTTAAGGACTGTATTTGCTCTTATTTCTTTGTGGATTTATATGTGTGTGTGTGTATTAAACAACAAAATGACATTTAAATATGATAGTTTGGATTCAAATTAACAGCAACCAGGGAATTCAAAATTATGCCTAGCTCTTTGTTCTTAATTGAAATGAAAAAGACAGTGGTGGGAAGGGGGGAAGATATAGACACAAAATTTTGCTGTCGGCAGAGATTTTGATTTCACTGTGTTTTGTTAGTTTAGGTCAAAACTTGTAATGTCATGTTAAGTATAGTTTTTTTTTTAAAAAAATAGTTTCCTTGTTTTTAAAAGGAAAAAATCATGAAAAGTTATGAAAGAAGTATTAGTGATAATACTTAACACTTAGTGCTTTATGGGACGTATTCTGCTCTCAGTTACAGAAGTGTAAATCTAAATAATCCCAGTAGAGTTAGGAGTCAATCTGAAATCCACTGAAATGGATGGATCACTTGACGATTACCTGTTGTGTTCATTCCCTCTGAAGCACCTGGCATTGGCCACTGTCGGAAGACAGGATACTGGGCTAGATGGACCATTGGTCTGACACAGTATGGCCATTTTTATGTTCTTATGAAATAAATGGGAGTGCTGCCTTGACTACAGTGGGTGCAGCAGCAGACATTTATTCCAGATTTACACCACTATAAGGGTGAAATTCACTCCTGTACAGAAGACCAGTAAAAGGACTATGTACCACCTGAATGTACTTTGAGGTCTTAAGTGGGACTTATGTGATGTACAGGCTTTTTGCCAGTCCTCTGCATAGGATTGACCCTAACCGAGAGTAGAATTTGGCCCCCTATGTTCCAGACGTTGTGCAAAAATTACGTAAGTACTTTTTAACTGATAGATTGGAAACTTTTCTCTCATCAGATTATGTAAATAGCAATTTTAGCAAGTTTCCCAATGAATCATGTTCTTTATGGACCAGAAAGACACTGAAGAGGGAGAGGGGTAAAGTCAGATCTATCTGGTAAATATATACTTATAATTTTTTAAACAAAACTATCTAATATTAAATGAACAGATGAAATTTAGTTTTGTATTTTCTGTAGTATGGACTTTCACGAGGTTAATACTGACAATACTGTAAGTGTATTATAAAAAGAAATAATGGACAAAGCATATTTTGCATGAATGGTTACTAGCCAATTTTCAGTCATTGATCACTATATTTAAAACTTGCCTCTGGTTGGAGACCTTTTTTGTGCCACATTTCAATCCAGAGCAAGAGGTTTTTTTTTCTGGCAGTTCTAAAATCCTCTCCTATTTGAGTTGGTGGGTCTCAGTCCAGTGCCTCGTGGGCGAGTGTCCACATCACAAAACCACCCTTGCAATTGGCACACATTGGAGGCTAGATCCTCAGATGATGTAAATCAGTGCAACACCATTGGTGTCCATGCAACTACATCGGTTTACCTCAGCCGAGGATCTGGCATGGATACCTTATTTTTTTTTTTTACAGTCTCAGCAAGAGAGGCCAAGGACTGAATGGTCCTAGAGACTGAATTCACCTCTTGATTCTTAGAGCCCAAACTCAGGATTGAGGCAGGTTGATGGGACGTTGTGTTGGAAGCTTCCACACTGTATGCTGTACTTGTTCAGTAGACCAGTGGTTCTCAATCTGTGGGCTGCTTGCGGCCCAATCAGCACACAGCTCATCTTCAGGGCCATACAGGTAGTATATATATTGTGTGGATGCGGCCCACATAACACACAGCGAGCTTCATATGCGGCCCACAATGGTAAATAGGTTAAGAACCACTGCAGGAGACCGATAGAGGACTTCAGTGTTTGAGATTTTCCATCCAGTATCGTTCACCAGCAATGAATTTACTAGAAGTTGTATCTCTCTATATACTTAATATATCCGATATTCTATAAAATACAGGCAAATCCCTTCCAGTGGGATTTTTTACTGGAAGTGCTGACGACTCTTACAATCATGGCATTCATGTGGCCACTCTAATGTTCAGTGTTACTCGAAAGATCATACTTCAGGTGTATATAGAGAAACCAGTCGTTACCTAAACAAAGATTCTAATGCCATTGCACAAAGTATGCTCTTGGGTATCTTTATGTTGAATGTAAATTGAAGATGCTAAATGTGCATGTCACCACTTCTGGTGACCATCCTTACTAAGCGTCAAGATAGAAGGAACCAAAAGGAAGAATTGCTTCAAAGCGTGTGTAAATATCTATTCGCGTGTAACAATGTTTGTTTTATTTCTACTGTGAAATATATTTTGGAGTTAGAAAGTACATGTTATTAAAACAAAATGTAATTTAAAAAATGTGTGCTATGCTCCTTGAGCCATTTTTATAATATGCCAATAATACATTTCCTGTCTACTTTTCTTATTTGGCTTTTGTAAATGTACAAAATCTTCTGTACTGCAGCTTTTGTGGGTCTGTAGCGCATAGAGCTACTGTTTCATTGTCTGCCGTTGAATAGGGAGATCTGCTACGAGATGTATTTTAAAATCCTGAAACAAATATTACGTCAGAGAGGTGTGATTTTTCAGTGTCTTTGGGCACCTATATCTCCGTTGGACTTCATTTAGATTTGTGGGTGCTCAGCACTTCTGAAAATCAGAGCCTGGGTGCCAAAATCTAGGCACCTCAATAAAAGAAGCCTGATCAAATAAATTTGTTAGTCTCTAAGGTGCCACAAGTACTGAATTTCAGAGGCACTAAGGGTGAAAAATCCGGCCGCTTTGCCTAACTTAAGTACTCATGTTTGAAAAAATTGGGCTTAAGATTTTAATGGCACAATCTCAGTGATGTTCAGGAAAGACTCTCGCTTTTCCTTTTAGTCTGTAGCAGATGAGTCCCCTTGGATATTGAGGTCTAATGAAAGTTACCTAGTTACTGTAATAGGTTCAGAGAAGAACAGCCCAAGTAGATCAGTCCTGAAGTTGTTTTTGTGGTACAATATATGAGAAACAGTGTCCTACAGTACTGGCGCAAAGAACTAATGCATGCGGCATTGTTAATACAGTGTTATGGGCCACTGTTTTCTAAGGGACCAGTCGTCAAAGGTGCTGAGTGGTGTTCAGCAGTTTGCAGGATCCAAATATTTATTTTTTTCTACAAGGGCTTTACCAGAACACTAAAACCAGTGGACAACAAGACGTAGGCTAGGGTTTGCTTGGAAAATCCATGTCACGATTCCCACTGCACGTGGACATCAGTTAATCAAAGCTAAAGTTCTCCTGGATGTAAAACTCAGAATTCAAACTCTCTTTCTGTGTATTCCCAAAGGTGACAAGTTATGCCTATGTTGCTTACATTGCTGGTCATTACATTAAGAGGGCTAGACAAATTATATTTTTGTGGCAGTTATCAGAGGTAGAGAGGTTCCTCAAGTGCCTTTTAGGACTAGACAGCAGTTGGGGGGGGAGGTGAAATCAATTTAAGATTATTTTTAATTGCAGCAAGCAGCTTATCTCTTCTAATATACAAATTCATGATCAGTATGACCACATACTACAACACAGTAAATAATAATGTGCTGGAATTATAAGAGCAAGCCTACCTGGACCATGAGAGTATCCTTCTGCTTAAAGTCTATGGGAGTTTTGCCCTTGAAATGGGAATGGAATTAGGCTCTTTATGATTGTGGAATCAGATCCAAAGCTCACTGAACTCAATGGGAGTCTTGACACTAACTTCAGTGAGCTTTGAACAGGCCCATAATATAGGCCCCAATCTGGTCTCAGCATCACTGGTGTAAATCTGGCATAACTCTGTTGACTTTACTTACGCTGATGTGAGGTCAGAGCTGGCACACAGCTGCCTTGAAACCCTGTAACAAGATGGTGGAATCTCATTAGTTCCACAGGTCTCATGAAATCTCCACCATTTGAGTTGGCAGAAATGTCATGGGATCAGCTGGTGAGATTTCAGCAGTGTTGCATCTGAAGTTGACTCTCAGTCATGATTTAGACTCCAAAGTGAACTGGCCTCTGACTAGTCTGAATCTAGATCTCAGCATGATCTCCTTGGCCCATACATACCAGGAAATAGATGCTGACAGAGTAGGGAGTCCAGCAAAGCCATTCACAATGATTTAACGACATTGTAACAGCAAAAATAATGAAGGGAACTAGATAGAGTCACATCTAGCCAGAGTCTAATCTCAACACAGATAACAGTTCCTTTTTTAACTCGCATCACCACAATGCACGCTCTACTGACTCTTGTTCCTCTAGGAAAGGTGTAATATTCAAAATGTTCATCTTCTGGGAAGCTTTGAACTGTCATTTCTGCTGTGTGTCTCTTACACGTTCTACTTTTTTTTCTTCACTGCTTTAAAAATTATTTCTAAGATGCAAGAGGCAATATCTCAAAGCTGAAAGGGTCAGCTTGGAACTGCAGTTCTGGTTAATGCCTTTGCCATGAATTCGTATTTTTGGCAGTCTTAAAAATCTTGTCCACACAAAAAATAATGAAATGTGGTCCAGTGGTTTTAGAAACCATTTGAAAGGTTCAATATTCCCTGATGGTATTTCCAGGCTTTTCTTCTACCTAGTTGGATACTCTCTAATTTACATTGCCAAATATAGAACTCTGGCCCATCACACTGCTGCTGCGATTTGTAGCTCGCCATTCTTTTCATCTTCTCTTTTGAGGATGGGTCTTCCTACTGCCAATACATACGGTGACATTAAACTTCACATTCAGCAACGCCAGTCCTCCACTAAGTGACCATCTTCTTGGTTTCTAAATCCTGTAACTTTCCAGCTCTGAAGCCTAAAAGCTCTGTTTGTAGTAACAAAGGCAGTCAGTGGGCTCTGACTCATTCTATGGACGCTGTTACTGTATATTGGAGCCAGTCAACATTTTCCAAAATTCAATTTGTCAATGAAAATTTGGAATTTTGACCCCCCCGAAAAATGTGAATGCTTTGATATATCACTCATTCAAACATCTGAGCTAATAGCCATTACTCCCTGTACTCTAAAACACCACTTCCTAGTCAATATCGCTTTTCTAGCCAAAGGAAGATTTGCTCTGCTCACAGAAGATTTCCAGGTTCAAAGAAGTGTTTGATACAATTCAGAGCTTTCTGGATGCTGCATCAAAATTAGCCAAACATTCTGAAGCCATGCAGCTCATTTATTATATACATCATGCTCTTTTTCTGTAGCTCATGCTATCATTCCCATATATTATTAGCAGTAGTAATTGTCTTACAGTAGGGGTGAGGGGCCACAACTGACATCACGGCTCCATTGGGCAGTTTTAGGTAGATTGGATTCTCTCAAGAAGAAAAAATGAGAACTTACAATTTCTAGACTTCTCCAGTTGCTCAGTCAGAAAGGACAGCATTTGTCCTTTGTTAGATAAGTCTCTCAAGTCAACAATTATACTCTGGCTATTTCCTCTTCCTTCCTTTGAATCACTTTATTAAGAGAGGTTTGTTACTGTATGAAGACAGCATTTGAAATGAGAATGTTCCCAAGGTGATTCATCCAAAGGAGCAATAAGAATTATGTCCTGAATTATGGGGTTTCAGATACGGGGGCTTTGCAGTTGCAGAGGTGCTGCCCTTCAGCAACTGCAAGTGTTCATATTTAAATCGTTTCTGGAAAACATCTGACCCTCCCTGACTCTTTGCTCGTTTTTAGAACCAAATCCAATTGCACTTTCTTCAAGACTCAGCTTTGAAACATTTAATTAGTTGGGTTTTTCCTCGCCCGTCATCCTTTCAATTTTGCCGGCACTGCACTTCCTGCTCCCAACCAAAATCAAACTATGCCAAAGCACCACAGGAAAGGCTGTTCTCATGGTATTTCTAGCCATGCCTGGGAGTATCGGAAATGCGCTGAGATACTGTTTTCCTGGGAGATTCACAGCTCTGTGCTTGCACACTGCAGAAGCTGGGCCAGTTCAGAGAAACTTCTGAACATTTGCGTGTTTGCTGGGCTCTGACTGCCAACATTTTTTCAATGTACCCATCCCTAGTTAGTGTGAGCAAAGTCCTGCTTGTCTTGCATGGGTGCCAGGAGGGGGAGAGAAAAGTAGCACAAGAGCCTGTAACTCACCAAAGGTATCTGTAAACCAGCCCAAGAGGATTCCAACCAATCACTCTCTTGAGGAGCTGCAGACCCACTGGTGAACCGTCCCAAGGGTGTCATGTCTCCCCGTCCTCTTGACTGGATGTTACTTTCAGCAGTAGACACTATGGCTCACAGTGACTCTGCTAGTAGCCGTGAGAAAAGTATGCTATCAACCATGATTCCCCTGGGCACGCCCCCAAACGTGCCACCAGCTGGATTCACCTGTGATGTTTGCAGAGCCATCTCTGAGTCAGCTACAGTTGAGATCTCTGTTTGCAACCTCTTGGGTTATGGCTCTGTGTTAACTGCCTCGTTACCAAACCAGGGACATTATGCCTGGGGGCACCTTTAGTGAGTTAGGGGAGGATTTACGCTACATCTTTAAAGATGTCAGACAGGCACAACCAGCTACGGATTGCATCTACTATCGCAGAGAGCGGTGGAGTATGGAGCATGCAGTAATATCTAAGGATACTCTGATGTTAAATGCTATGTGTTTTTGTGGTAGACAGCGACATTCAGCTAAATGTGTATTGTACTTTATCCAACCTCTACAGAGCTTGAACAATATGCCTTGTTTTGACCCTTGTGATCCTTTCACCTGGATATTATTATTATTCCATATTTGCTTTCTTTGTGGCGAATTCATCCGTGTGAAGAGTTAATGAGTGGTATGAACCTCGCAGTGTCTGTCAGTAGCTGAAGTAACCTAGGCCTCTGTATACACCTGCTCCAATGAACCTTATCACTGTACAGGAGTCTCCAGAGGTCTCAGTGTACCTGCATAATCTATAAAGACACCTGTTAGTGTCCTCATTTTCTCTCCCAATTTCTTGCCATTATAGTAGCAATGCAACATGCGATAGCTCCCGAGGAGAGATGTGCCAGGTTCATGTATGTAAAGCTGTATTTTGGCTTTTGAAGGTGTCAAGGAATGAATTTACTGGCCCTCTGGGTCTAATAGTGACCTTTCTTATCGTCATGGGTAACAGGATCTGGGGTTATTACATTTTGTTAAGTGGAAACACACAGATGTCAACTGCTGCTTACTAGACTAATCTTTGTGTGTGTTCTGAGAAACAGTAATAGATTTTAACATGTATACTGCTGTAGATGACACAATAAATGTATTATCATTTTTGCACGTCTGTTCTGCTATGAAACTGAACTCTTGGGCTGATCCAATGCTGCAGAGTTGCCATTTTGGGAGCTAGCAGGATGCACTCATTAATGAAGGTGCTTTGCTTGTTGGGAATCACAGAGTTTAAGGCCAGAAGGGATCATCTAATTTGATTTCCTGTATATTACAAACCACTGAACCCCACCTGGACTAGACTAAAATATTACAGCTCTCAGGAGCCTAAGCCAGTGTGTGCCACAGGTGAAGAATAGGAGACACCGAAGTACATCAATGCCTGAGGCCCCTGCAATGGCAGACAATGATTTGGTGAGATAGATCCATGTGATCCTAGCTAGGGACCCATGTTCAATCCTGCAGGGGAAAGCAAAAAACCCACCACAACCCCTCGGTCCCTGCCAGTCTGACCTGAGGGGAAATTCCTTCCCAGTCCTGAAAATGGTGATTAGTATAAACCTGGATGAGCCTCACCTGCCAAGATGCCTAGAAGGGGAATTCTCTGTACTGCCTCCAAGTGATGCTTTCCAGGGGTACCACAGTATGAGACTACCACCTGCCGTTAGCAGGAGAGCCTTGTCTATGCCTTTTGGGGGTCAGCTCCCCTATGCCACCGGCAACACAAACATTCCTTCCGAGGCTCTGCTGTCTCTCCACCTGTTAGTGATAGGCACACTCCCACCCCGAAGTCCTCCCAGCATCCCCCTGGAGTGTCCAGCCCCTAGGCCATTGGACACACTGAGGAAGGAGACCAAAGCCCTGAGGTAAGTGGGAAAGCGGGATACCGGGAGGAAGCACAGGCAGGAATGTCTGTGAGGGGAGGGCTCCTGCCTCATACTGGGAATGAGGGACGATCAGCAGGTTATCTCAAGTGCTTATATACAAATGCACAAAGCCTTGGAAACAAGCAGGGTGAACTGGAGGTCCTGGTGATGTCAAGGAATTATGACGTGATTGGAATAACAGAGACTTGGTGGGATAACTCACATGACTGGAGTACTGTCATGGATGGTTATAAACTGTTCAGGAAGGACAGGCAGGGCAGAAAAGGTGGGGGAGTAGCACTGTATGTAAGGGAGCAGTATGACTGCTCAGAGCTCCAGTACGAAACTGCAGAAAAACCTGAGTGTCTCTGGATTAAGTTTAGAAGTGTGTGCAACAAGAGTGATGTAGTGGTGGGAGTCCGCTATAGACTACCGGACCAGGGGGATGAGGTGGATGAGGCTTTCTTCCGGCAGCTCACAGAAGCTACTAGATCGCACGCCCTGGTTCTCATGGGTGACTTTAATCTTCCTGATATCTGCTGGGAGAGCAATACAGCGGTGCATAGACAATCCAGGAAGTTTTTGGAAAGCGTAGGGGACAATTTCCTGGTGCAAGTGCTAGAGGAGTCAACTGGGGGGGAGCTTTTCTTGACCTGCTGCTCACAAACAGGGAAGAATTAGTGGGGGAAGCAAAAGTGGATGGGAATCTGGGAGGCAGTGACCATGAGTTGGTTGAGTTCAGGATCCTGACACAGGGAAGAAAGGTAAGCAGCAGGATATGGACCCTGGACTTCAGGAAAGCAGACTTCGACTCCCTCAGGGAACAGATGGGTAGGATCCCCTGGGGGACTAACATGAAGGGGAAAGGAGTCCAGGAGAGCTGGCTGTATTTCAAGGCATCCCTTTTGAGGTTACAGGGACAAACCATCCCGATGTGTCGAAAGAATAGTAAATATGGCAGGCGACCAGCTTGGCTTAATGGTGAAATCCTTGCTGATCTTAAACATAAAAAAGAAGCTTACAAGAAGTGGAAGGTTGGACATATGACCAGGGAAGAGGATAAAAATATTGCTCGGGCATGTAGGAGGGCCAAATCGCACCTGGAGCTGCAGCTAGCAAGTGATGTCAAGAGTAACAAGAAGGGTTTCTTCAGGTATGTTGGTAACAAGAAGAAAGTCAAGGAAAGTGTGGGCCCCTTAATGAATGAGGGAGGCAACCTAGTGACAGAGGATGTGGAAAAAGCTAATGTACTCAATGCTTTTTTTGCCTCTGTCTTCACGAACAAGTTCAGCTCCCAGACTGCTGCACTGGGCATCACAGCATGGGGAGTAGGTGACCAGCCCTCTGTGGAGAAAGAGGTGGTTAGGGACTATTTAGAAAAGCTGCACAAGTCCATGGGGCCGGACGAGTTGCATCCGAGAGTGCTAAAGGAATTGGCAGCTGTGATTGCAGAACCATTGGCCATTATCTTTGAAAACTCGTGGCGAACGGGGGAAGTCCCAGATGACTGGAAAAAGGCTAATGTAGTGCCAATCTTTTAAAAAGGGAAGAAGGAGGATCCTGGGAACTACAGGCCAGTCAGCCTCACCTCAGTCCCTGGAAAAATCATGGAGCAGGTCCTCAAAGAATCAATCCTGAAGCACTTACATGAGAGGAAAGTGATCAGGAACAGTCAGCATGGATTCACCAAGGGAAGGTCATGCCTGACTCATCTAATTGCCTTCTATGACGAGATAAGTGGTTCTGTGGATGAAGGGAAAGCAGTGGATGTATTGTTTCTTGACTTTAGCAAAGCTTTTGACACGGTCTCCCACAGTATTCTTGTCAGCAAGTTAAAGTAGTATGGGCTGGATGAATGCACTATAAGGTGGGTAGAAAGTTGGCTAGATTGTCGGGCTCAACGGGTAGTGATCAATGGCGCCATGTCTAGTTGGCAGCCGGTGTCAAGTGGAGTGCCCCAGGGGTCGGTCTTGGGGCCGGTTTTGTTCAATATCTTCATAAATGATCTGGAGGATGGTGTGGATTGCACTCTCAGCAAATTTGCGGATGATACTAAACTGGGAGGAGTGGTAGATACGTTGGAGGGCAGGGATAGAATACAGAGGGACCTAGACAAATTGGAGGATTGGGCCAAAAGAAATCTGATGAGGTTCAATAAGGATAAGTGCAGCGTCCTGCACTTAGGACAGAAGAACCCAATGCACAGCTACAGACTAGGGACCGAATGGCTAGGCAGCAGTTCTGCAGAAAAGGACAGTGACAGTGGACGAGAAGCTGGATATGAGTCAGCAGTGTGCCCTTGTTGCCAAGAAGGCCAATGGCATTTTGGGATGTATAAGTAGGGGCATTGCCAGCAGATCTAGGGACGTGATCGTCCCCCTCTATTTGACATTGGTGAGGCCTCATCTGGAGTACTGTGTCCAGTTTTGGGCCCCACACTACAAGAAGGATGTGGATAAATTGGAGAGAGTCCAGCGAAGGGCAACAAAAATGATTAGGGGTCTGGAACACATGACTTATGAGGAGAGGCTGAGGGAACTGGGATTGTTTAGCCTGCGGAAGAGAAGAATGAGGGGGGATTTGATAGCTGCTTTCAACTACCTGAAAGGTGGTTTCAGAGAGGATGGTTCTAGACTATTCTCAGTGGTAGAAGAGGACAGGACAAGGAGTAATGGTCTCAAGCTGCAGTGGGGGAGGTTTAGGTTGGATATTAGGAAAAACTTTTTCACTAGGAGGGTGGTGAAACACTGGAATGCGTTACCTAGGGAGGTGGTAGAATCTCCTTCCTTAGAAGTTTTTAAGGTTAGGCTTGACAAAGCCCTGGCTGGGATGATTTAATTGGGGATTGGTCCTGCTTTGAGCAGGGGGTTGGACTAGATGACCTCCTGAGGTCCTTCCAACCCTGATATTCTATGATTCTATGATTCACAGAGTCACTGCTTCCAAAGAACAGCACACCCCAGCATACCAGTTCCACATCAGATCACCGGTCGGCTTAACACACAGCGCTCAGATATGTTTATAGTGAAATCAAGTGTCAGTTTATTTAACAAAGCACAGAGATTCAAGTGATAGCCAGTAGAAGTATTGGAAATACATGCTTACCTATAAAACAAAATCATAGCGTGCATTCTACAGCCTAGATTTCACGTCTTGCAGAGAAATGCTTGCCTGAATCCTTGCAGCATTTTGCCGCCAGACTTGACTGGGATCCTCCTTTCATGAGACAGACACACTGTCAGCTTGTCTCCCAGGTGAAGGACCCAGTGTGTTTCTTTGCCCCTCAAGATTTACCAGTTTCATCCTTTGTCTATATTCATGAACAGGACACCCCTCGCTGTTTGTTCCATCCTGCAGACTTCCCCTCTTGTAGAGTTCACACTCTCTTATTTAGCCGGTGACTCAGTATACAAATAGGCCTACAATTGTGGGCCAGTGGTTTTCAAACTTTTTTCATTTGTGGACTCCTAAAAATTTCGAGTGGAGGTGCAGACCCCTTTGGAAATCTTAGACATAGCCTGGGATCTGCAGATCACAGGTTGAAAAAACACTATTCTATGGTAGTGACAATCTTTCACAGACCCCCTTAGACAGTCTGTGGATACCAAGGGGTCTGCCGACCACAGGTTGAATCCACTGCAATGGACAATAGTCAAATGACCAGACAGGGAGATAGGCATCAGATATCTCCTCCCTAAAAGGAACATTTCCAAGGTACATCACCTCCTGGTGACTTGACAACTCCAAGTCCTTAAGAATATAATGTTCAGTACACATACGTAAGCCCTTAAATATTAGCCATACATACATTTCACAATCATTATGTCAACCAGTGGGCTACTGGCTCTCAATGGAGACCTCACATGCCACCCTTTGGTGAACTAATATGCGTATACCCAACCCAGGGCATGACTGTAAATCCCTACGCACCCCATGCCCACTGCCATTTGGCACCAATGGGTCCCTGGGTCCCACACAGAGCCCACCCTACCAGTCTTTGGCTGCTGTCTGACAAACTCAGTCCTGGAGTATGCAGGCATAAGTCCTTTGCTATCAATGGGCAACGGGCATTCTTGGTTTAAACCATGAACAATGGCCTTACTGGGTCAGACCAAAGGTCCATCGAGCCCAGTATCCTGTCTTCCAACAGTAGCCAATGGCAGGTGCCCCAGAGGGAATGAACAGAACAAGTAATCATTAAGTGATCCATCCCCTGTCGCCCATTCCCAGCTTCTGGCAAACAGG